TTTTTAAAAAAAAAAAAAAAAAAAAAAAAAAAAAATCTATGAGGAATTTTTCTGTTTTGCTTGATTTAAACAGCTTTTTTACTGTCTTCCCTTATTTCATCTGCCAGTTTCTGAAAGTAAAGATTAGGAAGAATTAATGGGATGAAACTTGTGACATCACTAAAAAACTTTAAAGAATTCAGCAGCATATACAAAATAATGGCTTTCTTATGACATTTTCATACATATATTATGTACTTTGATTCTATCTCATAAACTTTTTAAGCCTTAAAATTAGATTATTTGCTTTTGAGATACATTATTCGTATTAAGATTACATTTCATTGAAATGGGTTTCCTGAAAATTTTTTATGTAAAATTTGTATGAAGTTAGTAGTTTTGGAGCAAATGGAAACTTTGTTTTTTGTGAATTATTATTACTGTGTATGTTTCCTCAGTATGTACTGAACTTACAACTAAAATCAAAGTCATTAATGACATGAATGTGTATGTGAAGACTGTCTAGTTTTTCTAATATACTTGAAATAGATATAACATTAATTAAAGAAGTTAATACCTAATTAAGAGATTCAGATTACATAATAAAATTAAGTGTGATTGATTAATGGTCTAGTTTCACTTTGATATTGGGCCCTAGCAAAGGGTAAGCTTTCTCAGGTTGCTCTCTAAGTTATAAAACTCAGTTGTGGCCAGAGCAGCCTGGGTTAGGGCTTGAATGTTCTGTTTGATTATTTGCCTCAGAATCTTACAAGCTGTTACCTGTGACTAATTCACATTTTAACTCTTGACATAGATAAAAATGTCAGCTCCATTCTTCTACCAATCAGTTAAGGTAATTTAAACAAACTGTAAACCCTTTGTTTGTTGAAGGGCCTTTCAAACAAAGATTCAGTGTGCTGTCCTGCTCCAGGAGAGGCACTGTGTAAGCAAAGCTGCTGATTACTTGTGGAACTTGAAATTAGGAGAGAAACAGGAAATCTTTAGCTGAGCCTCTCTGCTGCTTTGGTTACTTATTAGAAAATATTTTTTGAGATTTTTTTTTACCCTATCCTGCTTATTTCTTCTTGATAGCATAAATTTTAAAAAGCACCCTACTTGGTCATGCAGTGGGTTCTTGGGGCCACTGGTAGGAATTTCCACTGTTATGACAAATGATGAGATTTTTATGTTGGATGGACAAGAATTTCCATAGTAAAATTGTTTGACACTGCCTTATTTGTTTTGAATTTTGCCACTTTCATAAACAGCTTATAGAAAAATGTTTTTTGTATTACTGGTAAACTATACCTTTTGGATACTAAATTTAGATTTTCACAATTTGAAACTTACATAGACACTGTATTTTAGTTAGTTGTCTATTTAAAAAACACAGTGAATACAGAAGATAACATAACTAGTTACCTGTTTACATTTTGATCATTATAAACATACACACCTGAGTTTTTGACACACCAACATTTCTCTGTTAAGAATGAGTTAGCTAATTGTATATTCTTATATCTATTGTTTAAATTGCAGTTTATTAGGTTTTTTAAAAAAGGAAGAATAAAAAATATGCCACTTATGTTAGTACCTGCATTGATATTTTTCTGCTAGCTTATTCATTTTATATACTTATGTATTTCATATGCTTATACATATTTAGCTGAAATCATCACAAATCTTAATTATCCCAGAAGTTTATAAATCTATAATTTTGATTATAGATATTTTTATACAGATATTACTATTAAGTTGATTAGACTGTCTCAGAATTTTACTGCATGTGTTATGGTTTTTTTTTTTTTTTTTTTTTTTTTTTTTTTTTTTTGTAACGG